CCTATGTGTGAAAAACTATTTGACAATTTAAATCTGATGATCAATAAAAAAAGACGTTTTTCATGTTTCACGAAGAATTTTTTAATGAAAATATCAAATATGTCCATAACTCGGATTGCAGAAGTTAAATATTTCATTTCACATTCACAGTCGAAAGATTTTAAAATTAAATTAATGAATTTTATGTTTAAGAATTTTTCTGGATGAAATTTTAATTCTATCCAAAACTAACAAATGTTTTTAAAAAATCTAAAGAATTTTAAAATTAAATTTCAGAAAATTGTTGTAAATTTGCAAACCGTAATTTGTAGGTGTATCTCATTCATGTCGAATGTATTCTTAGGGGTATTTCGAAGAACTGAATGTCTATAGAAATTGTACAACAGAAGTACATTAAGAATTGACATTAAGAAAGACTTGAAAAATTTATTCAATGCTTTAAATAAAATGGACATTGATCTCTTGATATTAAAGGAAAAAATATTTGTTTGGCATCACGAGCAGAAAGATTATCAGATAGATGCATTATGTGAATGAAATTTGATACTTTTTACTCAAATTAGAACTTAATTCGTGAAACTTTTGATTCTCATGCGGTTTGCTTGCAAGTTCTGAAAGTTCATTAATCTGATATCCTTCTTTGGCCTAATAATTCCGAACTGGAAGACTCCCTGCTTCTGAAAACGTCCCCAATCTTTATAAATCGCTTGCAAGTGTTCCTATAAGATTAAGTACAAATATTGCATAGATTTAGGCTAAAAAGTAAAAGACAAGCTTGGCTTTAAAAGACAAGATCAATTTAAAATAAATGGAACTATTTTAAATTATCGACCAAGGCGTGGAAACTATTCCAAATATTATATTTATCCCACATATCCCAAAAATATTCAAAAAATTCCTGAGCATGTATGCACGATAATAAAGATATCCCAACGTATCCTTAGTGTATTGAACGTGTAACTTCAGGATATGATGGGATATCTTAATTCTAATGTATACAGGCTCAAGGATTATTTTGAATATTTTTGGGATATTTGGGATAGTTTCCACGCCTTGTTATCGACCAAATAAATCAGTGGTTCTCAAACTGTGTGCAGCAGCAAACATATTTGTTATGACTTCTAAAAAGGTCACAACAATCAGTTGCTGTGTATCTGTCTCGCGTGATCCTCAAAAATTTTGAGTATAAAAAAAGTTTGAGAAACACTGCGTAAAATAAAAGAGTACACAAAACAGTGCAGAACACACCATTTCCTTCATAAAATTCCACTTAATTCAGTTTTTGCCACATTTTCCTTAATACTTAACAACTTTATCGTTTAAACTTAATCTAATTGACAATATTTACAGCTTATGCACAGCGAGTGCCATTCGAAGTATGCAACACACAATGTTCATGAATTTTAAACAAATTTTCCCTAATGCTCTCAAAAAATATTGTTCCTGCACATAAGCACAACATCCAAAGACAAAATGTGTCAATATTGTGTTTACAGCTAAGCTAAAAATTACATTAAAGTGTAATTCACAAAAGCATTCTGCCTTTTTTCAGTTGAACAGCACATATGCATTGCAAATTCCCTTTTTTTGCTGCTGAAGACAAAAAAGTGGGGAAGAAAATTCCTTTTTTTCTTCTCTTAAGTGTTTATGCATTTCAACACACGATTTTTCAAAGCTCATTTGCACATTTAAGCATTGTCAAGTTGCTTGCTACTTTTATGAGCGAACACAGAGGGTTGGAAAAAAAATGCACGAATATATTCATATGCTTTCTAAAGTGTGAAAGTTTCTTTTTTGCTCCTCCATCCTGTGACAAAAAAAAAAAACACATAAGAAATTCATTTTCATGCATTTTTTTACGTTTTTTTTTTAAAAAAAAGCATATCTGATATAATTGAAGTGTCAGACTTTTAAATGAAAATTACATAATGATAGATACGATAGAGAAAGCAGTAGCAAAAAAAAAGTATACTCATTTGCATACATATGTCGACAATCATAACACATTTAAATTTTTTTTCCTTTTTTTATCCCTCCTCCCTCTACTCTCTCATTGTTGCTCATGCTAAAGGATATAAAGGAGCATGCAAAAAAATAGAATGTATTCACTTTAAGTCGTACAATAGATAAGAAGAAGAAAAGGAATAGAAAGAGAGAACAATCTGCTTAGAGTATTGGGGTTGTTCATAAATTATAGTCGCTTTTAAAAATGGAAGGAGGGGGGATTTTAAAATCAAGAGAGCTAGTTCCAGACAATGTCTGAAGTTAGATCCATATCTTGACCAAGTGTCAGGGCATCGCCTACTTCTCTGTACTCATCTGTACAGTGTTGTAGTAGAGGATTTTGGTATTGTGATTCATGATGAGTTTGGGGATATGACAAGGGGAAAACAGCATGATTGGAAATTTCTACCGTGGTGAACTTATGATGGAAATTTTAGAAAAAAATCCCTTTCTTTTTGTGTTGTCTTCCGTTGGGATATGAAGGTCCACTTTTTTAACAAGCATTAAAGTCCAGTGTTAACCAAACTTTTTGAGCCACGGCACACCTTAGGAGTAAGCTACAACCCTGACGGTACAATAGATTCTATCATCGATCAGGATCGCATTGCCTTCAGCTCATCGCAACGTGTAGTAACACACCGCCAGGCTGAAACCCTCTCACATTATTATAAGCCACAACCCAAGACAATATGTTGTTTTCCCCTTGAGATACGAAGAGGAATTACCCTTCCTTTTAAAAAACGACTGGATCGCCATCTGTTTCATAATAAATCTAGCAATTTTTATAAGTCATATATGTCGAAAACTACATTCATCACACTACACCTAATACACGAACGATCCTCTATATTTTTTGTGGAAAAAGATTTGAAAAGAAGCACTTTTGCAGTTTTATGTTCATTTAAAGCAGAAAGTTAGAAAATTTCTTTTCAGTTTTATTCTTCTCTGTTTGCAGACAACAATCATTGAAGAAAAGATAAGTTCTTAATTAAAAATAATAACAATTTAGAGACTTTACTCTGCGTGGAAAATTTATGGTAGACAATAATTTGTTAGGTATTTGTCTTATAAATATTAGTCTTTTAAAATTATTTTATAAGTGCTTTGGTGCTTCAAGGAGACGACATTTTTTATGTATTTTCTGGAATAATTATGAAGCTATCTAATGAGCACTTTATGTATTTTTTTACTGATTATTCAGGCTTGCTTTTTATGGTGAACAGTGTTATTAAAATGAGAGAGTTATGTCGTACACATTTAAGTCTGTAGAATTGAATGTCCAATCAGGGAAGCTTAAAATTATTTTTTAAAAGAAAAAACATTTTAAGTTGCTTAATCAAGGGGAAAACAACTCAATGGGTAAAAGTTTTGAACAGAAATTCACAATCATGTTGCTTTCAAGTTCAAATTCTTTTGAATTTCTAGTCCATACAAAACAATTCTGACCTCCTTATCCACTGTAATTGAATGTACAGGGGCGTAGCCAGGGGGGGGCCATAGGGGGCCCGGGCCCCCCTACGAAAATCTGATAATTGTTTTATTAAGTATTTATAGAGAAGAACCAGTTAATGTAAAGGAAGTGATGAAAGAAATGTCAAATTCAGCACGAAAAATTAAATTTAATGTATGAATAATGAATTAAATATTTAAACTTATGAAGAATGAATATAGATTTAAGGATACAAAATAACAATTTTTTTAATTTTCGAAAATGGGCCCCCCCCTTAAAAATTTTCTGGCTACGCCCCTGATGTACAGCATCAAGAAAGCTTGAAGAAATTGAAAAAGGCTTACTCCTTTAAGATGTACGAAAGTTTATTCCTCTTACAATTCAACCATTCCTTTCGTCCTACAGGTGCAGTAAAGTATGGTTAAAAAATATGTTTTTCATTCTTTATGTTTGACCTTATGCTGTGACATTTTTAGGGAACATAAATTTAAAAACAAATCGGACACAATTTCAATTAACCTTTTTGGGTTGCTAGGTATATGTCTTAAGGATTTAGAGCTTCTCATAATTTGATGTTTATAATCTTATTTATGGAAGCGATTAGGAAACTGCTAAGCTCTAATTATTAAAGTATGTGTTCATTTTAATTGTAGTCATGACTGTCATTTGTTTAATGATGCTTTGGTTATGCTCAATATTGCTCAAAATCCGATTTCCATGCGAATGGTTTCAGTTTACCATAGACACCATAACTAGTTTTTGTGAACAGGCGTAAGACTCTAGTACTCTCAAATATTATCAACAATCCCAATGCAAGGTTCCAAAATCCCCATTCATTAAAGATTAAGATTAAGCATCAATACTTTATCGCTCGATTATCCAAAACATTTCATTCTAGAATTGCTCCAACATAAAGTTTCAATAGCATTCATTCAAATCAATTCAATTTTAAAGGTTTGAAAAACTTTAAAGTTTTATTGATGAAGAGCTATTAAATTTCAAATCATTATAGTAAAGTTTTCATTCCATCACTCAACACTTAATTCCAATGTAATTATAATGAGTTTGAAATTTATAATCAGCTGAGTAGTTGAAAGCTTTTGAACTAAAATGTTTATACTACCAAAATGATTACAACTTGTTCTTTATGTAGCTACATAGACAGCATTCTGATGTAATCATAATCAACATTTCTCATAACAATAAGCCCACTAATAGACATATTCTAAAATAATCGTGGTTATGAAAATAACAAAGCTGTTCTTTAAGAATATACTGTTGATGCACAAATATAGTATAGAAGTGTATAAAAGACCTCTCATTGGACACTCAAAGTCCTTACCAAAGCAACATTGAAAATGCTCTTGAAAACTTCTTTGTGGTATGACTTGAACATTTTCATCTTCTTGAAGAACTCATTATGAAAATTGAGGAGCAAGAGAAGAAGCAAAAGCGAGAAACTTGAATTATTGATTTTATTTTAAAGTACAAAATTTACATTTCCATCTCATCATCTGTTTTCATCTCATTTTATTTTCAATTATAGAGATGATTCAAGAAGCTCAAGTGAAGAAGAGGACGATGATGACGAAGTCGAACATCCGATAGCTCAAGTTCGTCAAGCAAGCAATAGCAATAGCGGTTTTAATCCAGTTACGATGGTGTTTAATGCTGTCACTAGTGCACTACTCAAATCCGCTCAAAATGTTGCCCGTAAAAGTCCTGCAGAGATATTTAGGAGTTCATCAAGCGAAGATGATGATGAATATTATGAAGATGGCAGCAACGGCACTCAAGGTAAATATATGTGTATGCTCATGGCTTAAAAATTATTTATGATATGCATTTTAATGTTTTTTTGAAGTAATATATACTTTTATTGCTGTTATTATTTTTAAGTGTGGCGAAGAAAAATAATTTTTCATTGTTTGATAAATTATGTAAAAGTTTATGCTTGAAGCCTTTCAAGTACTTCCTTGAACAGCTCCACTGCGGTGTATTCTGAGAAATTATAAAGTTGAAGGTAGAAAGTTCTTGTTCTTGTACAATTTATTTGAAAGTTGTAGTGGATTTCTTAGAGGACATAATTGCTTTAGTTCTTCGAATCTATTAATCTCCTAATTTGTATCGCAATTGTTTTTGAAATGCTTTTCCAGAAATTATAATTATGATTTTTGAGTATTTTTCAGTATCTCCTTAACTAGGATTTTTATTATTGGTTTAATTGCTTTTACATTATCCAAGTATGCGCTAATTGACGCTTAATAATAATTGTACTGATTGTTACTAGCTTTTATATGATGTTAATCTAAATCTTTACTAAATGTCCTAAAATTTTGATTATGTTTAACAAAAGGGGCTTTAAACTACGAATTTTTTCTTCAAAAAAAATCAATATGATGTATAAATTTGAAAAAAACCTTTAAAAATATTAAATTTATTGAATCAAGTTTGGGGCCGTTCACTTATTACGTTACGCAAAAAAACGGACTTTTTTACCACCCCCTCCCCCCTTTACAATATGTTACAACTCACAACCTCCCCCCCCCCCCGAACGTTCATAATTTATTTTATTTTTTTATATTGATAATTTTTCACAAATCATTAAAAATGTGGAAAATTTAAAAAAAAATGTTTTTGGTGTGAATTTGTAAACAAATTTTTTTGTGAACTTTTTTTTAAAAGACAGACGACAATTAGAACGTTACATACTTCTTGACACCCCCCCCCCCCCTGTGTTACATTTTGTTACAATTTTTCAAACCCCCCTCCCCCCTAAAAGGCGAACGTAATAAATGAACGGCCCCTTTAGAATTTCTTAAATCCTTCTCCAGTAAAAAATGAAATACTTCACGTCCCAAAATCACGTGACAAAAAACATAAAAACTCATTAGCATTACGAAACTAAAATTACCTTTTGTCTTGCATAAATCTTCAAAGTAATCTCCAGAGATTTATGAACCGATATTAAAGCAAAGCCTGAAGCAAAGTAAATTATTTTCATTGAAAATATTCTGGCTCAATCCAAACAATAATTTACTATCAAAAGTGATAAATTTTCAGTTCACAAAACAATGTGCTTACTTATTCAATCAATTCCCAGAATGCATCAACAAAATTAAAATCTTTTATCTGTTCATGGAAAAAAGCAATAAGCAAAAATTTTTAATACCAGAACAAAATGTATATTTTTTGGTTATTTATCACTTTTGCATTATTGTTTATACTGGAATTATTTAGATATGACGTCTATTGATTAGGTTAAGAAGGGATTATGTCAAGGGGGAAACAACATCATGGGGAAAAATTGGTAATCATTTCAAACCATTTTGTTACTTCCTCTCGAGGATAGGTCTACAAAAACGAAAACTTAATGATTAAAAGTCAGCGCAATAAATTGCTCCAAAAATTCAAATGGATGTCATTTTTAAACGACCCCCTTCGTATATTGGCAGAAAATTTAATTCCATTCATATTCAGTCAGTCAATTTGTGAATAGGCATCGAATGAGAGCGAAATGATGAAAAAACCACAAAGAAGTGGAAAGGGAATCATTTTTTCACTCCATATCTGCTGCTTGCTGTTAAAGAATGAAAATTGGTAAAAGCCAATTTTTGTTATTGTTTTGAGAGTAGAATTTTTCATAAAAAACATTTTCAGTTTAGCTTACTGTTTTGCCCATTATTCTTGCTTGGGTGCTTATCGAATTATAACAAGGCATCGCTGGTATGGAAAAAAGCAGAAGCAAAAGAGAAACGAGTCGTAATAATGAAGTCAAAGAAAACGTAATTTTTTACGGCTGGTGCGCACGTAAATTTCTAACAAATATTTTGGAAATTCTTATGAAATTAGAAAAGAACAGGCTGTATTAAATTCTGTTTTGGCATGTTGAAAAGATTTTCTAAAAGCAGGACGTAAGCGAGACGTACAACTTGTAAAGGAAGAAGCGGAAAGTTTCTCATTATTTTTATTTTGTATTTTTAATTTTTCTTTTATCGTTCTACTAGGATACAGGAAGTGTAGTTTGGGGGTTAGTGTCATAGTTGTAGCCAGGTTTAACCTCCTCCCCTGAAGCTTAGCTTCAAACCTCTTCAGTGACAAGGTAAAGACTCCTGATTAATTTGAAAGCACGCCAACTGTGAAGGATTTTCAATTCTTTAAATAATTTGAAAGTAGCCTGCCCCCCCCCTCCCCCCCTCCCCCCTCCTCCTCTATTGTACTACACCCCTGCATAATGAATAAAAATTTGTGTTAAGTGTATTTAAATTGAGGAAGGAATCAAGAAAAAATTAAGAGGAGTTCGAGCATCAATTTTCAATTGAATGAAAAAGAAGAGGAAGAATAATCTGGTGTAAAAAAATTTTAAACTCGTTTACATAATTTTTTCTCTGTTCGGTCTCCGTTTGAATAAATTTAAATGCATTGTTACATTCCATTTTATCTATTATGCTTCATTATTAAAGAGCTTTTATCCTCACTCGGTGTGGGTTTTAAGAAACCCTCAAAATAGAAGGGATTTTTGTATTGTATTATCATCATTTCCCATTCTTTCTTCTTATTTCTCACACCGATTCCTACGCTCTTACCGATTAATACTATAAGCTTTGTATTAGATCACATTGTTAGGAAATCTGCTGACACCATTAAAGTCAATTTTGAAGGGCCTTTTTTTTTGTCTCTCTTCCAATTGCTCCGGGCGATGACTCTGTGAATATTTGACATTGTTTTTGTCGTCTTAAAAACTTTTTTAAAAGGGTTTTCTTAAAAATCTTTCCCTTTTTGCTCTGTGTGCGCTTCATTCTGCTTGAATAAGAAGGCGACTAAATGCAATCTATGGTATAGAAGGAAATACAAATAAAGACGCAAAAAGGATTGTCCAATGGGTGCCGATGGTTCTTATTCTTCGAAAATGGTCCTTATTCTTCGAAATCGAAAATTCGAATTTGAATTTTTTTCAAAAAATGAAAATCCGTTAAAAATATTTCATCAAAAAATTATATTTGTTTACATCAGTAAAATTTTGATTAATTTTCATTAATTATGGGTAAAACCTGCAAAATTGCAAGCTGCAACAAAAATAAAACAATTACAAATCTTTTTAAAGTACCTAAGCACTCATTAAACAAAGATAAATGGTTGTTATTTTTAAAATCAAACAACATAAGTGTCGACGGAAGTGAGATTTCTGCTGTAAGTGATTGTAACACATTCAAGACAAAATTTTCAGATATTGTTCTTAGTCAGGTTGAAATTCCATTTGAGCATTGTTCAAAGACTATTGAAAATTTAATATTATTTTTTGTAACTTTTCGATCAAAACTTGAGCTTCATTGTCGATTGTTACATTCAAAAAACAAATTTGCGTCGAGGAATTGATTTTTGTTCATAAATAAATTTAACGGTCTTTAAAATTTCAAAATTTTTTATAAAAAATTATTTTTCGAATTTTTTCGAAACAGGTTTGAATTTTAGAAAAAATAACGGTCTACATTGTTGTATGCACCCATTGGAGGATTGTTAGAAATAGATTAGGAGTTCTTGTTTGACGTGATTTTCAATTTGTGATATGAAAGATTTTTCGCGTCTTTAAAATAAAATGCAAATTTTTTTTTTCGCTTCAAATTTAAAAATGATGCGAAACTTCTGCTCCATTTAAAAAAAAAAGATGCAAAACTTCCGTTTCATTTTAAAAATGATCCAAAATTTTCGTTTCAATCATTAAATGACGCGAAAAGTTTGCTTCATTTTTAAATATGATATAAAATTGTAGCTTTAATTAATAAATGACGCGAGCGTCTGCTTTATTTAGAAAATTGATGCAAAAATTCTGCTTCATTTTTTAAAAAAGAAGCAAAATTTCTGCTTCAATTGAAAAATGACGCGAAAATTTTTCTGCAAATTATTCTTTAATTTGTATCATTTTCAAAACACGATTAACTGTTTGTCGCAGGAAATAAAATTACTTTAGCACCCCTAAAACACGTTCAAAGTGTAAAATGAGGAAAAGTGTCGTAAGAACGCTTGGCTCGTAAGAAAGGATGGAATATAAAGTGAGAAATTGCTTTCAAACTTTCAATTAGACAGCAAAAATGTAATAGAATTCATTAAAGTTAAATTAAGGGATAATTGATGTAGCAAAATAAGCAACAACTCTTCCTGTCGATGATAATGATGTTGTTGTGTTAAATGCGAAATAAACAAGCACAAAACAAAAAGTTTAAAAGTTTTTTAGCTTCGTCAATTACGAAATAAATAAGAGAATTGTCATGGAAATTGTGCAAATAAATTTATAAATTCATTTATAAAAGATAGTTGTCAGTAGTGACGCATGAAAAATTGAAGCTCATCCAACATTTCAATATTTGATATTTATCCCTAAAACTATTCCACTAAAAGTATATCAACAATGATAAATTACATTGAGCCGAGTAAAAGTTTATGACTATGTAGCACAAAAGTTTGCAATATTTCATTCACATTTATCATGCTTCTTCCTATTTTTTCTGTTTTAGCATGTCAGGAAACAATACTCAATGTGTGAATAAACTTTTTCCCCAGTAAATTGAGCACATGTACATATCCAGCCATTTATGCCAAATAAAAACTTTTCTTCAAATCTAATTAAGAGCGATGACAGCGAATAATTTTTTATCAGACACCTAAATAGTCTCTATTGATTGGAATAAAAACGGGGAGAATGAAGAATAAAAGAAAAGTTTTTTTTTCGGTGTCATCACATTCGTGGCAACAGCTCAAAGCCACATGCGATAATTTTCCAATTTCCATCTCAAATTTAT